ACATCTTCAATGGAACAAGAAAATAAAATGTACCCACAATATCTGGTGAGGAACCAACTTCATTTTGTTTAGAAAAAATGTACCGAACACATGCTGTGAAGGAAATATTAAAAATGGTCAACTTCAATCTTCAACAATTCATGTCGGAAAACAAAAATTTGCCTAAAGATATCCAAGGCCATAACGCAACCAGTTGGTTGCCTCAATTGCTCCATGTTATTATATACTAAAATTGGCTTTCAGGTCCACCACAATTGCATAGATCATGTGCGAACAAAAAAGAAGTCCATAATGAAGCCATATGAAGGTCATACAAGACCCCTATGTTTGAAGACTTCAAGCATTGCAGCTCCAATTTTTGCTGGAGATTCAACGACTGTAACCCCAGCTTCCCTGAGGGTTTTTATTTTATCTTGTGCGGTACCCTTTCCTCCTGATACAATAGCTGCATAGCCAAAAGATGAAATAACCAAGACATTATATGTAATCAAAACAACTCAGATTTAATAGTTAAAATATGCAGAGGTCATTTTGAACCTGGTTCTTCAACAGTTTCCTTTAGAAGAGAGCATTTAAAGTTAACTAATTTATGACAATATAGCAATGTCAAACTTGAATACCATAAAACAGTGTAGTGCTCATTCAGGATTCAAATTCACTCAAAACTTAAGATCAAAATTTCATTTTAAAACAGTTGAAACATCCGAAACGTTTCCATTTTCAAGGAGACCAAAATGAATTAGGGATGGAATCAAAAGTTTAATATTTCATAATATTTCGAGATATTTTGTAATATTTCAATACATTTGCACAATTGTTTCGGAATGTTTCAAAATATTTCTAGTTACTTTAATATATTTCGACAATGTTTTGGAAAAATAATTCTTAAATTTTTTATTTTTTTCATTATATTTCCGAACCACACGAATCGTTTCCATTTTCTAGGTGACCGAAATAAAATTTGATCCTTGCTCAAAACCAATAACAGTTTATTCAAAAATACATTTTTGTAAGACAATGTCAGTACCCAACCACCCCCACCCCAACCAATAAAAATCTATTATAACCAAAAACTTTCATTGGCACCTTCAGATAACTTATGACTTCCTATTTGCTCATCGGCCCAATACAAATTAAGTTACAGTCATCTACGTGTTCGCCAGTTGTTGTCGTTGTCAAATCACTCTAAGTTGCAGTTTTTTTATTGTCGGTATCTTCATCAGTTGCACATCAGTTGTTATGATCATTATCAATTATTTTGGGGTGCTCAAATCCGTGTTCATGTGTCTCCGATGTGCAGATTATAGTGTTTTCAATCAAGTTTAGTACTCATTCAGTGATATTCGGTGCAGCTTAGTGCTAGTTTAGTAGTTTTCATTCAATCAATTCAATTTCAGTGTTTTTAGCTCGATTTAGTGTCCGTTGGGCAATTGGTGTTGTTTTAGTGGTTTTCATCCGGTTTGTGTCAATTCAGTGATTTTTGGGCAATTTGGTATTTGTTCAATGGTTTTCATCCTGATTTAATTCCAGTTCAATAGTTTTTGACACAGTTTTATGCGGGTTTTGTGATTTTCATCCCGTTTTAATACCAATTTAGTGTTTTCAACCCGGTTTACTATTGGTTCAGTGGTTTTCAGCACAGTTTGTTATTAGTTTAGTGGTTTTAATTCTGATTCAGTGTTTTTAAGTTGGTTCGGTATTTTTGGCACAGTTTGGTGATAGTTTAGTCATTTTCATCTCAAATCAATTCCATCTCAATGTTTTCAGCATGGTTAGTGCCAATTTTGAAGTTTTCATCCCGATTCATTTTTGGTTTTATGGTTTTCAACACCAATTCACCCCTATTTTGGCTACTTCAACTCGGATTATGCTTGGTTTACCCTATTTGCAATTGATGTGGTTTAATTTGTTGTTACCTATGCATCGTTGAGGTGTTACTGGTTGTGTACGCTTGTGCCAGTATTGTTGATGGTGGTGTTGTGTTCGTTCTTTGCAGTAACCGTGTTCTTTTCCTTTGTGGTGTCATGATCACCATTTGATATTGGTTATTTTGGTGTAGTCATTAATTGCTTCTCTAGAAAACAAAATTGATGCCTCAGACTTCAAATGGAACAAGCACCTGAATTTTTTTTTTTTTTGGGGGGTGGGGATATTGTGATTGTGTGTGCCAATAAAAGAAGTCTCTGAATGGTTTGACGCAGTCATCCAGAACTTAGGTTTATCATCCTTATTGTCTACGTGGAGCCTTTATTCCAAACTCAATATTTTTAATCTCTATACTCTTAACTTGAGGGGAAGTGTAGTTACTTTTGCATTATTCTACTTTCCTAATATGTTACTTTGGTATTGTCACTTTCTTACTAGCAACATCTTCTTCAAACTCAGATTCCTCACTTGAAGAACCATTGACCTTATTAAGGTCAACAAAGTCTTCATCTATTTTGTCCACCCTCAAGAAGACAAGAGGAAACTTTAATCAACTCCTCCATTTTATCTTCATCAAATTCTAAACTGACAATTTCATTATTCTCAACAACCCTTTTCCTTTGTCTTTCCGCTATCTTTCCTCCATTGCTCCCCGTCAAGAGCCATCCCTTCCTTCACCATAAAGCTTGGAAGCCTTCAACTAAGAATACCACAAACAACCAAAAGACCTTTCTACAATGACTCATTCGCCAAATTTACCCTAGCAAGAGGTTCCCAATAATTATACGTCTTCACCAAGTCAGATAAACTAGAAATTGGGATTTGGGATCTCTTTTTCACACTTTTAGGGCTTGCATGTTTGGGCTCCTTTAATAATTCTGGTCCATCACATATGTACACTAACACATTAGTTTGGAACTTACCTCATTTTGCCCAGCTTTGTTCATTTCCTTAACCTTCGGCAGAATTAACCTTTAACTTGATCCTAAATGACTTCTCATGAAATTCTATAGTAAGGTAAGTTGGTAGGAAGCCAGATTTAGGACCTTTTACCTTAATTCGTGCTTCGAAAAAATTATGCATCTCCAACGATCTTCTATCTATTTTGATGTAGCCTTCGCAATAATCACTTATTTTTCACAAATACCGCTTTCATCCATAACTGAAAAGGAAATCCAGCCACGACAATCCACTAGCCAAAAAATGAGACATTTCTTCTAGGTGCATTGCTTACGGGACACCATTTCTATAATCTCAGCATGTAAGGACCTTGCAAAAAACAAGTTCCCCATTTGCAAATCTCCTCAACCTTCTCTTCACTCCCACAACACTCTTTGTCAATGTCCAATCATCTAATTCTAACTTCGACTCATGTATCACAACTAAATTATAAGAAAGCCTTTAAAATAACCTCTTTAATCATCTTTCTCTTTCTCTAGCTTCCTAGACCCCTCAAATTCCAACTAAAGAACATCATGAAACTCTAGCACCCCTTCCCCTTCTACCACTGCCCCCTATCATAATTTAATCATACACTATAAACTTCTCAACTCTCTCTCACCAGTCTTTCTCCTAAAGAACCTCCCACTCCAATGTCTTCTCCTCTAGGACTCACCAATTTTGAACCCATTTTTTCAAGAAGTGTTTGTGCAACTCAATTGTCTCTCCCAATTCCCATTAGGTCAACAATTATTTGACTCCCCTTGCCACCTGTTCCCCCTTCGCATAAAGATAACTTAGTTTCTGTCCCACCCTTCCCTAGAATAGGCAGAATCCCTTCACCAGATCTAATGCTTCCCAATAAAATCCCTAGAGAATTAACTTATAAGTAGAAAATGAATTAGGAACATAAGTTGTTCAACCACCGTACAAGCCTTATCATCCTTACTATCATTCTCTCTTTGAATAGACTTATAAGCATTGTCCTTATCCTTTACTTCTTAGAACAACCCCATGCCTACAGCTATTGTCATAGGAGATTCTCAAACATAGGAAACATCATCCTATTCCCAAAGCTCCTTGATGTAGGGAGAAAAAGGGATAACCAATCCTCGCAAAGATTAAGTTAAGAAACACAAATCTCCGTAGAAAAATAAATCAATTCATATTAATAAATCTAATTCAAATAATTGGGACTATACCATTATTTATAGGACAAATGTCCTACCCAAATAAAAAGTACTTTCTAGTTAAAACTATATCTAAACCTCCTAATGAGATAAATATTAGCAAACCAAATAATCTAATAAATAATAGAAATAACTAAAATTTTAATCTTCAATTTTATGCGACCCAATCCCTTTATGATCCCTATCACTCCTCCAAGAGTAAGTCAACTTCAAATTCATAAAAACTCAGTAAATTATCTGAATCATGGATAGATTTTGACCTCGTCGATTCGAGCTTTGATTTTGCTTTCAAACACTATGTAGAAGTCTAATACTCTCAGAAAAATGTCTCCACTCACCATTTCGTACTTCACAATTCCCAATTTCCTTCTCTTCAGTCATAGAGTTGACTGGTGTAAGGGGGCGACCCAATACAAAGCACAGCCCCCACCCTCTAGCATCATGGACATCACCTTTCTCTTAAGCTTCCCTCATTAAACTTCTTGTCATCCCACCTTTGCAGCAATTAGAGAACCCTTTTTCCCATGTAAACTTAAACCTTTGGATCTCTACTTTAGTAGCTTTGACACAAGACTATATAGGCAATTTGAAAAGCCCATTATTGCCCTTAAGCCCACCAAATTAAAGAGACTCCCTAAGCCCATTTGATTCTACCTGCCTGCCTAAAAAATGAGGCACACCATCAGGTAGAAGAATCCCACTACTAACAGGAAGCCCATCGGATTCTTTCTGCGAAACAAAATCAACATTCATGGCTTGCACGGTGACCATTGCTAGAATGGAATGAACCAAAGCTTTAATCAAAATTCTCGCACTTGTCGTATCATCACACTCGTTTGTGGTAGAATCAATATCCACAAACTCTCCAACAAAATTTCCAATGGCAACAAACAAATTTTGACACCAAAGATGTGTTGGGATACCAATCACTCAAATCCTAATGTTCTAAGTTAGCACACCTTTACTAGATGCTTTCTCCAATCCTACCCACTGCACCCAACTATCAAGATGTAATGGGCTACACGCCAAAAACCAATCTTGCATATGCAAAATCCTCTTTGCTTCCTTTACCGATTGAAAAACAAACATGAAAAGTGAGTTGACCATTGAAATAAATATCTGGCCAACTAACCCCCAGTTGGAATTTGCCCAACGAATAAATTTCTCGTTCGTGGGTGCTTTTGAATTAACTACGTTGAATCTCCCCACCAAACTTCTTTGCTGATCTTCACACCTAACCAAACAAGATGCCACATCCATTCCAAACACTCCATTCTTATCAAGGAAAACAGATAAATGAACTGTAGATCTCCCTCCAATCTTAGCAACCTCCAAATACGATTTCTGCTCCATCTCACCCATCATTTAAACCCACAAGAGCAAGCCAGTAATGGACATTGAAACCATTTGTAAAAGTAATTGAAATTTCTGCGTAACCCAGAGATAAACCCATAAATAAAATATTATTCAATTCCAAGCTTCACCAATTCCTTTCGATGCTCATCACGGTGTTTGAAAGCAATGAGTTGATCATAAAATAGGATGCCAACACATTTACAATGTAAACAGTCAAAGCATTCTGAAAGCTTTCTACAGTTGAACATCAATCTACTTAGGCTAACATTATATTTGGCTAGCAGATGGGCTTGTTTTTACGCAACCTAATAGATACTGGCCCAATTGATAAGCAAACTTACAACCAAGGCTCAACAACCAACACTGGCCCAAGACTGGACCAGGTTGGAAATTAGCACTGTAAGTGGTGAAAATTTTGGTTGCTAGATCATCCAATAGCCATCTGTTAAGAAAGGCCTGCCATTTACTACCGCCTCTACCAAGTCACATTTGTATAAAACCTCAAAAATATGATCAGAAACAAAATAAGGGAACTGTTCACAACTGGTGCTAGATTCCTTAATGTCGAACGAGAAGGACTAGAAACTACATAATAGAAAAAGAAGAGGGGGTGCAAGGGGTTTACCTCATCCTCGCAAAGAATCGGTGAAGAAACACATAAATTCTCCACGGAGAACCACTTTTTATTATATTACTCTCTCTAAATAAAAATAGTTGGGATTACACCATTATTTATAGGCCAAGCCCCCTACTAAAATAAAAACTATTTTCCTACTAAAATATTAAAAGAGTTCCATAATCAAACTCTCAAATCTCTATCCTATTCAAACTCTATAATAATTTCCTAATTAAACTCTAATTAATATTCCTAGTCAAATAAATACTCATAAATCAAATAATAATAAAAAACTACAAATTATACTCCCCTTTGGACCAAAAATTTCTAGTCTTTCGTCTAGGCTTCTAAAGTCTATTGTATTGGTCCAACCAACCAATGGCTGCGCCATCAATTCTCCCCCGCTGAAAAGAACTCGACTCCGGCGAGTAAGAAGAAGGGTCAAGAATACCATCTGATGGAGAAGCTCTCTGAATCAACAACGAACTATTTTCAATTTTAGTGTAAACCCCCACATTTTTCTTTTAATATAGCAACGTAATTATGTTTTGAAATGCTAATATATGTGACGATGTATGCATGATCTATGTGGATAGTAAGAGTAGAAATAAAAACGTTAGTTGAGGTAATAGGGTATGAATTGAAAATTAGGAAGTAGTCCGGAGTTCAAACACATTTTAGATAAAATTTGGGTAGAAAGAATTTTGGACACTGCTTAGTATTTGGATCATTACTTTTTACTCTGATGTCCGTTTGAGCTTAAATTTTTACAGTAGATAATAGACTTCCAAGGGTACAAAAGTGTATTTCACGAAAATTTCCAAATCAACCTCTAAATAGGCCAAAACTTCACTGGAAGTTTTAACAGAAACAGGAAGTCTGTTCGAACGTGAAAGTCCATTCGAACGACAGTGCATTCCAGTACTTTGTCTCTGATGGAAAAACAAATGTACTGGGAGTAACTAACGTTCAAACATGAGGAACGAATCAGAAAATCAGATTTACGTCATTTGAACTCTTTTCTTCTCTTATAAATACATAAGGACGCCTCCAATAGCCCCATTTCAACATTTATAACCCTAGAGAGGCTTAAAGAGGAAGAAATAAGAAGAAAGACACAAGATCAAGAGGGATTTGAACATTGAAGAAGATAAAAACCTCTAGTTTTTCAAGAACACCATGGAAGAAGAAAGGTAGGGGTTTCTTCCCACTTTTGTCCATTGAGGCTAGGGTTTATATCTATATATGTTTTGCTTCAAAATCTTAAATATATGTTATAATATCCTTGTTTCTTGACGTTCTTGCAAACCTTCTCATGTCTTGAGTGAAGTTATGGGTTGAAAACCATAAAAACCCTTGTTTTGATGTCAAAACCAAAGTTGTTAGTATCGTACGATACGCGATACGTATCGTACGATACATTACGATACAGCCCTAAAACGATACGGATCGTAGTTATGTATCGTTTTTGCGTTGTATCGTCCGATACACGATACGTTTTTACGATACGATACGTATCGGTACGATACGCACGATACGTGCAATTTTTTTTTTTTTTTTTTTTTTTTTTTTTTAAAAAACGATGTCGTTTTGTGCTCTGATTTTTTTTTAAAAAAAACGACAAGTGAAGACTTGTTGGCATCCGATCACAATGATGATGATGATGATGATGCATTTTCAATTGAAATTGAAGATTGAGTTCAAAATGGATGTTAGAAATTTGGATTAGAAGTCTCTTTGGTGTTTAAAGTTTGAATTAGTGAACTATGGTTGTGAACTTTGCATTATAATAGTAGTGGAATATGTTGATAACTTGAATAGTTGGTGGAGTATTAATGAAATGCTATATTTTTTATGAGTGTATGACTTTTTTTCAAAGGTATATATATTTTTTTATTATTTATTTAAAATTGCATCGTATCTTACGATACACGATACGATACAATATTTGTATCTTACGATACGCCTTCCGATACACGATTTGATAACTATGGTCAAAACCTAGTTTTTCAAGAGAAATTGATTTTTCTCTTGATTTTTCCTTTGTTCTTGATTTAAAAACTCTAGTGTTTGGTATTGAACAATAAAATGGTACTTTCAATGATCTCTTGCATATTTTTTTAAATTGTTCTATTGGAATAATACATGTGAAATTTGAAAATTTTAGATTTTACTTGGGATTGGAGAAATTGGTTGGGTATTGTATCTCTGGTGGATGTTTGGATGACCATGGGTGACCATTGACCGGATTTCGTAGAGTGGGTAGTTATTTTTTTTACTCCGTGCAAGTTTAAATTTTTCCTACCACTCGTAATAGGGTTGGTACCTTGCGAGAACCAAATCACTATTCGCTAATGTGGTACCGAGGCTGAAGGTTAGTATACTATTCCTAGGTTGGATTCGTCACTACCAATGCATTGGTATATGCCCTTCTTAAAGTTGGATATGCTAGCGAGAATTGGGTGTGTGTGTGTGAGCCAGGATATTCTCGATGTGTTTATTTATGCGATGTCATACATCATACCTGAGATACAAGTGCAGATACAAATACAAGTTGTGATTTAATATACATTGTGGGTTATTGTGCAATTGTGCAATTTGTTGGTTATGGTTTATTGTGGAAATGGTTATTGTGAAAATGGTAACTTGTTGGAATTGTTATTTTTGAGAATTGGTTTTACTTTGTCATTTCATTATTGCTATTGTGTAAACTTGAGATCTATTGAAATGTCTCTGTTTTTGTTCAAAAGCTATATATGATATTTGTTAAATGAGACCAACCGTTTTATATGCTTTTGAAACCTTGTTCGTGTTTGGGAGAATTTTCCTACAAAGCTTAATGCTCACCCCCTACAAACAATATCTTTTTCAGATTATGGTCTAGAGGAAGAGCTCAGAGTTGATGAGCCGATACATTAGGAAACTCCAATAGATGGGAACGTGGATCCCAAGGTAGACGTTTAGAACTATATTCTCTTATGTTCTAGACTAGAAAATTCATTTTGAAACAATGTGAACTCTAATATTTTTTTTGTTATTCCGCTGCAAGATAATAGTTGATTTTTGGGATGTAGTTACCATAGTTGGGCATATTCTTTTGGATGATGTATATATTTTGAATAATGAATAAAATTCTCTTTAGTTATGAAGTTTATTTAGTTGCTCTCATGCTGTGAATGATTTTTAAATAATAATGTCGTTCAAGGGGAATTTTGGGGTGTTACATGTAGTGTACGCGCATCTGTAGCACAAGTAAGAGTATACTTCTTTCTTCCAATTACAAAAGAATAGGTATTAGCACGCCCTGCATGTTGTGCATCACGATCCCATATCCAAGTGCGCCTCCTAATGAGAATGTAAAATATAATATTTTTCTCTTTTAATATTTCGTCTTTTATACTTATTTGGAGCCTAAATGTATTCATTATTCTTATATTTTGATTTAGGATACAAATGGAGACATTAAATGCAAAACGAAGCTAATTTGACAGTTTCGACATCGTTTCATTATCTGGGCATAACTCTTTCATCCCAGCTCGGATTGAGATGATTCAAGATGCTATGGAACGCTAAGAAAACGCTCTACAACTTTCATGTTTTGAGTTTTGAGAGATATTGACTGAATCAAGGTCAAAATCGGGCTTGAAGTTGCAGCAGTGCACTGTTCATGTGCACTGTTCACATGTTTATATTCTGAAATCTGGTGCACAAAAACTCCAGTGGACTTTATTTTATTTTTACTTTTCTAGTTATATTAGAACTTTACTTTCCTAGTTATATTAGGACTTACTTTTCCTAGTTAATATGAGGCTTGAGGAGGTTTTAGAGGGAGAGGAAGAAAAACGTGTAAAGTGGAGAAAGGAAGAAAAAAAAATCAGCAGACTACACATTCTGTTCTACCCCTTATTCTCCAACTTTTCCTTCCATTTTTCATGAAGGTCATGTGTGGCTAAACCTTGATACTTGGTCGAAGGAAACGAAAACCTCGGAATTAATAAAACTGTGAGATCTAATTTGTTTTTATTGTTCAACTTATGATTTGATTATCGAATGTTTTACTATGCCTAATTTTCATGATTGTCTCGTTTAATTACTAGGAGGCCTACTAGTTTATTATTCGTTGTAATCTACTGCTAGGTTAGATATCAAATCTGTAATTGTTTGATCACTCTAATTTGTGAAGCAACTAAGATTATATGATTTGCTGCGTCAGAAATTATTAGGTCTTAGGAAGAATGCTCAACTAATTTAAATGCATCCGCTTGTGCTTGCGTTGTTTAGTTTCATCAATCTTTCTAATTCTTAATGTTACTACTAGATTAAACCTTTAGTACTTGCCTTGGGTTATTTAGTAGTTAAGGTTAATTAGATCGCTTGTTTTCTAATTAATTGC